TTCTTGTTTTCCGTTTTAAATCTTTGACACATGCTGGACTATTTGGAGTTCTGCAGACTCTTTTGCAGGGGTTACTGAAGAACAGCTTCTGCAATCACTCACTCGAGTCCATAGCTTAAATTCTGTAGACATTGACAATTTTCACCTCCCAACTTTGCCTAAACCTCCGAATTCCTTTCGAGGCATCCGGATGAAGACCTTATCATTCAAGCGCTGGTTAACAATATGTTATGATGATTCAATAAAGTGCGTATTTTTTAATAACCCATATACTTTAATTTTCTTGGGGATTTTTTTTTTGTTCCTGATGCTGATTATTGCTTTTGTGAATTTTATTAGAGAAGGGAGCTTCAGACAGACTGTTAATCTTCTTTGCAAGTATCTTGGAGATTTTTTGATAGCTTCATATCTTGATGTTGTTCAAGAATCGAGCTATGACAGTGTTTACATTAAGGAAATTGAGGTAACTTCATTTTATAGCACAACACGTTTTTTTTTACCTTGTGGATTATTTGTTTGCTTTACAAATCATTCCACTTAAAAGCTCTTCTGTGTTTGGGTTTGATAGAAAATGAGTGAGAATCTGATTAAGGGTGCTTTAGATTTATGATTATGCATTGATTGATATTGACTTACTACATAAAGTGATTTTCTGCATATAGAGAGCGGTTATCTTGCAAACTATCGATTGCTTTTGGAGGGACCACCTTGTGAACATGAACAGACTCAGTTTGGCGGTATTTACTTTCTCAACTTTATGTTTGTTATTATAACTTTTCTATTGACCATCGAAGTATATAAAATTTTGATTTTTTTGCCACTGTGTGATGTTTGTAGGTGAATGTACGAAGCTTTGGGCATAGGAATCCACTCGAAGAATATAAAATTGATGGGTGTCGATTTTTCATTTCTATGTTGAGTGCCACACGTCGTGTGACTGTGGAGTCCCTATTACGGCACTGGACTTCTCCTATGGAGATTCCCGAACTTTAAGTATAATGATACAAGCGTACCATTTTTCAAGCTAAAGGTATGACTTACGACTAGCTTCTGACTTATTCTTGTGTTGCTTAGTTTTGAACGACGTAATTTTTTGGAAAAAAAGGATTGAAAGCTAGACATTTAGCTGCAAAAGAAAAATAAAAGCTAATTTTGAAAGGAAAATTAAAGAAAGGTAAATTATCTAATTCCAAAATGAAAGTAAAAAAAAAAAAAGAGAGAGTTGGACATAAATTTATCAGAAGCTGTTTCGAAAATAGAAAATGAAATTGAAGTATAACTGCAAATGTTTAATGGCTGAGGTTAAATTTTTAGAAGTAAAGTTTTGGGTATTCTGGTAACTAGCACTATTCATAGAGTCGTATAATTGCATAACTATCCATAAGCTTTAGTCTATCTTACATGAAATTCCAGTCACCACTTAAAATTTACAAATAACACTGGTAACTACATTACCTCCTTATCACGTGTCATAGAACTATTTTTAACTTTTGAAGAATAACCCTTTTATCTAATTTTTTTTTTAACATGGACTAGTACTTGTATTGAGAGTGGTATTCTTTCATAGTTCCATTGTCCTTTGAAAAACATCTGACTAAAGAATTTTTTACCGTTGTATTAGACAGGTATTGTTACCTGATTGCTACAATTTAAGGAATTGAAGAAAGATGAAGCGCATTAGCTTCGATCTTGAAATGTAATGTACATTCGACACATAAGCTAATTTTTTGGTCCACCAAATATGTTGTTTGCAGAAACAAGGACAATTATGCTAAAAAAAATGATGCTTGTCAGAAATTATCTTAATGTTGTAAAGACAAGATATGAGTTGTTGTGTCTGATTCTCAAGGTTCGATGTATGGATAAATATTTGCTGTCATGCTGTGTTCATTGTTCAGGTAACTAACTAAACAACTTATGTTATGATGTTGCCACAAATTTGGGTGCAATAATGAGTTGCCTACAGATTGTACCTTAATTTGTGCACTAGCATTGGGTTGTACTTTTAGCCAAATTTTGCTGTCTGTTTCACAAATATATTATACTTTATATATACGACGAATATTCAAATGGAGGGAAGGGTTTGTTTATCATGAGAGATTTATCTGTCATGCTAGCTCTAGATAAATACATGGTGTTTGTAAGAGGCGATTATGGGAGGATCGACTCGTCATATTTCTTCTTAAAACGAAAATGCATATTTATCTATATCTATAACTATCTTAAAAGGATGAGTTGTTTCTTGAAAATTTTGAATTACCCATATTACCCTCAAAAGATGTTACTTTAGAGGATATAAATGTAATGTGTAATTTGAAATTAGAGTTGATAATGATGATTTGTAACTCATCCAACCACATTTAAATAGAAACTTGAATTGCCAATAATATCCTTAAGAAAAAAAAAAATGTAACTTTTGTTTGAAGGATATAAATGTAATATTATAACTTTTATTTAAACCACGTTACAACCACACACCTATCTTCTTTATTATATATAAGTTGTCTCCAACTCTTTCATTTTCTCTTCGTTATATACAATTTTTTTTTATTTATATAATTTATATTAATCTCATCTCATTATTCTTCATCATCTACAAATATTAATTTATTTATGACAAGAGTATGCATAGTCGCATTTTGGAGCATCACCTTCTAAATTGTTGGTCCTTTTCAATCACAAATTGTTGCATATTAAGGTATTCCACTAATTTATATGTCATCTAAATGTTTTTCAAATGAAATTGTTATTCAGTATGACATTAAGATTCATTTAAATTTTATTATACTGTTGCATTTCATTATTATTATTATTATTATTATTATTATTATTATTATTATTATTATTATTATTATTATTTTTATTTTAGTATTGTCATATTATAATTACTTTATGTTTTATCATACTTTCATTTTCATTATGTATAGTGGGCATGTCTTGTGAATTAGAGAAAAATAGAAAAGGTAGTATTAAGTTTCCACATTTTGGGTCCACTGAAATATCCAAAATCTTAATTAGGCTTTATTTATAAAAGACGATGAAGAAAAAATATTGAATATCATGTCTAAAATGTATGTATATTACATTTTATAGCTAATAAAGAAAAAATTACAAATATACTAGACGGCTACCCATAGCTTTTGCGTCTATCTAAAATTGCACTCATGGTAAAAATAGTTCATATAACTTAATCAATTAATGGATTTTGTGAAAAAAAAAAGGAATAACATTTTACTAAAATAATAATGTTGATTGATATCCAATTTTTATTTTATTATGTTATTTTGTATACTTTTTTGTGTATTTTATTTGAACTGTAAGAGATATATATAGTATTTTACAATTAATAAATTTATAAATTAATTTCATTAAAATAATTTAATATTGATATCTATTCTTTTTTTTTTCTTTTTATAGAATTTTGGTGTATTTTATTTGGACAGAAAATGAGAATCATTATACATACTTGTTCATAGTATTAGTTTATTATAATGTAGTTGTCCTATAAGCAACCAAAATAGAGTCTCCACAATAAATCATAACTTATATATTTACTTTTATTCATTTAATCTAAAATTCCAATTACCCTTAAGAAAAAGAAACATAACTTTTGGATATTTACTGCATTTTCATTATTTCTTTTGGATAATTCAGTATTGTGACATTATAATTAATATTTGTTTAATCGTGGTTGTATTTTCATTATTTATGGTGGATAATTTTCTTGTGAAATAGAGAAAAAAATTAGAAAAGTAGTATGGTGCTTTTACATTTTAGAAAAGTTAGTAGTACATATAAGAATTAATAAGTATTAAGCCAAATAATAAATATTCCTTTTATATAATTTTCAATACATATTATTCAAAAGTTACCTTCATCAATGTTTTATTTCATTTATGTTTTATCATATTTTCATTTTCATTATGTATAGTGGGGATGCCTTGTGAATTAGAGAAAAATAGAAAAGGTAGTATTAAGCTTCCACATTGCACGGTCCACTAAAATATCCAAAATCTTTAATTAGGCTTTTTTTTATAAAAGACAATGGAAGAAAAATATTAAATATCATGTCTAAAAAGTATGTATATTACATTTTATAGCTAATAAAGAAAAGATTACAAATATACTAGACGACAACCCATAGCTTTCACTTCTCTCTAAAATTGCACCCATGGTAAAAATTCATATGACTTAGTCAGTTAATTGATTTGAAAAAAAATAAATAACATTTTACTAAAATAATACTACCTCCTATTTTTAATAAATGTCGTTTTGAGAAGTTGCACAGTAATTAAGAATATTTTTTTTTGCCAATAATAACCCTCATTAATGAGGATAGAGATGAATGTTTTGAGAAAAAATGGAGAGTGAATATGAAAAGACGTAGTGTATTTATTAGTTAGATGAGGGCAATAATGAAAAAATATGTACAAATTAGCCAAAACGACATTTATTTAACAAATGATCAATTAAGCCAGAATGACAAATAATAAAAATAGGAGGGAGTAATTGTTTATTGATATCCAATCATTATTTTATTATGTAATTTCTTTGAACTGTATGAGATATATAGTATTTTTCAATTAATAAACTTATAATTAAAATTTTATTAAAATAAGTTAATATTGATATCTATTCTTTTTTTATTTTTATAGAATTTTGGTGTATTTATTTGGACAGAAAATGAGAATCATTATACATACTTATTCATATTAGTTTATTATAATGTAGTTATCCTATAAGCAACCAAAATAGAGTCAACACAATAAATCATAACTTATATATTTACTTTTTATTCATTTAATCTAAAACTCCAATTACCCTTAAGAAAAAAAAAAAAAACATAACTTTTGGATATTTACTGTATTCATTATTTCTTTTGGATATTTTAGTATTGTGATATTATGATTAATATTTTTTTTTATCGTGGTTGTATTTTCATTATTTTTGGTAGATATGTTTCTTGTGAAATAGAGAAAAAAAAAAAAAAAAAGTAGTATGATGCTTCCACGATTTAGAAAAGTTAGTAATACATATAAGTAATAATAAGTATTAAAATATATAATAAATATTCCTTTTAATTTTCAATACATATTAATTACAAATTACCTTCATCAATGTTTATTTTCATCACTATGTCTTTAAATGTTACTCATATCTATTATAAAGATAAAATACATGTAATGATGTGTTTATAAGTTCAAATTTTAAAAAATGAAACTATAATTTAGGACCTTATTTTCAACATTCAGATGTATTAGTCTTTTAATTAAATGTGAGCAAAGGAGTTACAAATTATTATTATCAACTCTAATCTAAGATATATTTTGAATACTAATTACAATTGAATGGTCGCGAATGTTCACTGTCATCTTCAAAATTTAGTAAAAATCCACTGAAGTATATATCATGATAACAAGTTAATACGATAATAATCATTTTTTATAAGTAAAAATACAATTTTTATGTAATAAATAATCTACTCTCTTTTTTAGTTTAATCGAAATTAATCAAAATAAATTCACTCATTTCACTATGGAATTTTAAATCCCTAGAATAATTGAAATGGATTGAAGTTCAGTTTTGAAATAACTATCTTATAAGGTTACTAATGTGATTTTGTCACAAGTGTGAGGGAGTTACAAATATTAATAGTTACAATCACTTTTTCAATCAATTTGTTTTTCATTCTACCTTTTTTTTTGTCATCGATGATCTTATTAATCTCTTATTATATTTCGTTACCTATTTAATAATTTAATTTCTCTTAGTTGATATAAAGACGTTAAGATTATCTAAAAAAATATATAAATTAAAAATAAAATTTAAGAAAAATATAGTTTTAAATGTAAGAGAGAATATTATTTTAAGGTTTGGTAATTAAAATATATTTATTTCATAAGCGAAAAATATATAATGCACCAATGAAATTATCATCTCTAATTTCCAAATATCCTATTTTACTATAGATATTTTTGTTATAGCATTAAAAAATTTAAAGAGAAACAATTTAGTGAACATGTATATGTTTAATAACGATTGAATCAAAAATAGTAATTCAACATACAAAATATCAATTTTTTGTGGAAAAAATCTCTTAGTTAAGTGAATTAATATGTAGTCTTAATAGGATTATTTTGTTTAGTTATTCACTAAAACAATATGCATGATACGGTTTAGGTTTACCAGGTAATAGTATGTCTGGTATGAATGTTCTTTTATGATAATGTGTGTTACATAAATTACTCTATCATTTACTTTAGTTGTAATATACATCAAAATAGATTAATTATACAAATAAAATAAAATATTTAATACTCAATTTTGAATCTTGAATTTCAAAATATGTGTACTTCTTAAAAAATATATAGTTACAATTAAAATCAATTGAATAAAAATTATTAATGCATTTACTTAAAATTTATTTTTATTAGTCAATCTTATTTATAAATCATAGATAAATTATAATTTTCAAATCACTTCTCAGAAGTAGGAAACATAACCTTTATACAAATATATAAAAAATTATATTAAGATAAAAATAAAATATAAAAGAATCATCATTTTATAATTTATCTAAAATAGAGTTATTTATTTTTCACTTTTAAGATAGTCTTGAAAATCCATGAATGAAAATGATAATGCATGCATGCAATTTTAAGAAATGCAACAATAATTTATTTCGGACAATATACATATATAGGTACCTTCAATCAACTAATGTTACAGCAATATATATAGATAGATGGTCACCTTTAATTAATCAAGGATGTTATTGTTCCTAATCATTTTCAAGTAATTTTTTTTTTTATAAAATAATTACGACTTTAAAGATATTTTCAAATATTTATATCTCTTATGTCATTATATACAGAGAGAAATATATATCTAAATATTATGAAATATTACACGTGCAAATATAATTGAATTTTCAACAGTTATGATCAAAATAATAGATAACGAAACATTCAACCATAGTGTTAACTTCCAATCAATAATTAAAAAAATGATAATCACAAATTATAGTCATAGTATATTCGAGTTATCTTTCAAAGAGTATGACGTAAAAGAAAGACATTAAAAAACTATTATTTTGA